TAGGTCTTTTACCTCCTTAGTTAAATTTAATCCTAGGTATCTTAATTCTTTAGGCGCAATGGTAAATGGGCTTTTTTAGTCTCTTTTTCTATAAATTCATTAGTGGTGTATAGAAATGTCATAGATATCTTGGCATTAATTTTGTATCCTGCTACACTGCCGAATTCATTTATTAAGTCTAATAATTTTTTGATGGAGGCTTTAGGATTTTCTATGTACAGTATCATGTCATCTGCAAATAAAGACAGTTTTACTTCTTTTCCAATTTTGATACCTTTTATTTCTTCTTCTTATCTCAATGGCTAGTACTTCCAGTACTATGTTGAATAGGAGTGTTGAGAGTGAATATACCTCTCTTGTTCCTGTTCTTAGTGGAAATGGTTTTAGTTTTTGCCCATTGAGTATGATGTTGGCTGTGGGTTTGTCATATATAGTTTTATTATGTTGAGGTATGATCATTCTATTCCCACCTTGCTAAGAATTTTTATCAAGAAAGGATATTGGATTTTGTCAAATGATTTTTCTGCATCAATTTATATAACTATGTAATTTTTATGTCTCAATTGATTATGTGATGTAGTATGTTTATTGATTTGTGGATATTGTACCGTCCTTGCATTTCTGGGATAAATCCTACTTGGTCATGGTGAACTACTGGATCCAAATAGCTAGAATTTTGTTGAGGATTTTGGCATCTATTTTCATGAGGGATATTGATCTGTAATTCTTTTTCATTGTGTTGTCTTTATCTTGTTTTGGTATTAGAGTGATGCTGACTTCATAGAATGAGCTTAGAAGTGTTCTTCCTTTTGATTTTTTTGGAATAGCCTGAAGAGGATAGGTTTTAGTTCTTCCTTGAATGTTTGGTAAAATCCCCTGTGACACTGTCTGGCCCTGGGTTTTTGTTTGCTGGAAGCTTTTTGATGATTGCTTCTATTTCTTCCATAGTTATTGGCCTATTGAGCTGTTTAGATTCTTTCTAATTGAGTTTTCAAAAGTTATATTTTTCTAGGAATATGTCCATTTCCTCCATATTGTCTAGTTTGTTGGAATATAGTTATTCATAGTATTTTTTAACAATCCTTTTTATTTCTGTGAAGTCTGTTATTATTTCACCTCTTTCATTTCTGATTTTATTTGGGTCCTCTCTCTTTGCTTGTTGATGAGCCTGGCTAGAGCTTCATCAGTCTTGTTTATCCTTTCAAACAGCTCTAGGTTTCATTGATCTTTTGCATGTGTGTGTGTGTGTGTGTGTGTGTGTGTGTGTGTGTGTGATTTATTTCTGCTCTGATCTTTATTATCTCCTTCCTTCTGCTCACTCTGGGCTTTTCTTGTTGCTATATTTTTAATTCTTTAAGTTGTAGAGTTAGATGATTTACTGCTATTTTTTCTTATATTTGAGTTAAGCCTGTAGAGCTGTAAACTTCTCTCTCAGGTCTGCTTTCATTGAGTCCCATAGATTTTGGATTGTTGTATTTTTATTGTCATTAGTTTCCTGGATGTTTTTAATTTCTTCCTTGATCTCTTTGGTAATCCAATAAGATGAACCAAAAAGACCCCACACCAAGACATACCATAATTACGATGACAAATGTTCAAGAAAAGAGAAAATTTTAAAGGCTGCAAGAGAGTTACAGAAAGTTACATACAAGGGATCTCCCATTAGATTGTCAAATGAATTCCAAACAGAAACACATCAGACCAGAAAAGAATGGAAGGAAATTTACAAAATGATGCAAAGCAAGGAACTGGATCCAGGAATAATCTATCCAGTAGGGCTATCATTCAAAATTGAAGGGGAAATAAGGAACTTCAGAGACAAAAATAGGCTATGGGAGTTTATCACTGCCAATCCAGCAATGTAAGAAATGCTAAAGGAACTGGTGTACAAAGAAAAAATAGAAAAGTAAGAAGGAACATAGGCACAAAATATAAAAAATGGCTATAAACAAGTGTCTATCAATAATAACTTTAAACATACATGGACTAAATTCTCCAATTAAAAGACACTGAATGGCTGAATGGATAAATAAAAACATGACTCCTATATATGCTGACTACAAGATACACACCTGAGAGCAAGGGACTCACACAGACTGAAACTGAAGGGATGGAAAAATATCTTTCAGGCAAATGGAAATGAAAAAAAAAAAAAAAAAAGCTGGGGTAGCAATACTTATATCTAACAAAATAGACCTCAAAGTGAAGGCCATACCAAGAGATAAGGAAACAAGAGATAAGGAAGGCCAGATATTCATAATACTAAAGGGATTGATACAACAAGAAAATATAACACTGATAAACATATATGCACCCAATGCAGGAGCACCCAAATACATTTAAAAGAAAAAACACCTCCTGGAAGATATCAAGGAAGAGATCAATAATAATACAATCATACAATCATAGTAGGGGACTTGAATACACCACTGACATCACTGGATAAATCCTTTAGACAAAAAAATCAGCAAAGAAATAGCTATCCTAAATGATTCACTAGATCAAATGGACTTAATTGACATCTTCAGAACATTTCACCCCAAAGCCACAGAATATACATTCTTCTCAAGTGCACATGGGACATTTTCGAGTTACAAGTAATGTCTCCCCAAATTCAAGAAGACTGAAATCATATCAAGCTTCTCAGACCATAATGGCATAATATTAGAAGTAAACTACAAAAAAAAATCCAAACACTTGGAAGCTGAATAGCATGCTATTAAACAATGATTGTGTGTTTATATTTTTAAGCAGTAAAAATATTGCTATTTTAATCATAGTCCTTAAATTATACTTAAAAAATGTTCATACTTTTTAAAAAGAAATGCTACAGTTCACAGAAATTTAGGTTTAATAATGCAAATGAAAGTATATAGTATCATTGATTTTAAAATATCTTAATACAGCCATACTTGTTATATCATAAAATATTGAAAAAATGTGAAGAAAAATTCTATCAAAATTTTTATGTTTTGAAAAGCAAGCTGCTTTATAGGCTTCTGCTGTTCTAACATTCAAATTAATGTTATTTAGTTCAAAGCTTTTAAAAAAGATAAATAGGTAACATATATTTATTTTGCCAACATAAAATGAAATACTTTTTGTGCTTTTATGAGCTTTTTTGTGCATTATCTTTACTGGATATAATTCTTTGCAAAAGAGTTCTCAGTCTCAATCTATATTATAAAAAGAATTTCAACATATTTCTTGAAACAAATGATCAAATTAATTTAAAATACTTCAGATATCTTCAAAGATGAATACCTGAAGCATAGAAATATCTATGGGAAAAGATCAGATATTTTTTAATCCTCACTTGAGGGTCTTTTTCATTGGTTTTTAGAGAGAGTGGAAGAGAGGGAAAGACAGAGAGAAATATCAATGTGAAAGAAACACATTGATTAGTTACCCACTGCATACACCTGACTAGGGTTGGGCCTGGGCCTGAGAAGGCTCCTGTAACCAAGGCACATAATCTTGACTGGAACAGAACCCTGGGCCAAACTGGCAAGAGCAAGATAAGATTTTTTAAATTTCAAAAAATAACACGATTTGCAAAACGAATTAAGTTATGATGAAAGACAGGAGGGGGTTGAAATTGTATCATGGTGGTTTTTGTACAACTATGCCTCACTTTACAAAATACATATTATCTTCAAAATGTGGAAAATTATTTTAAAAAATTAAGTCTTAGTTTAGATATATTAGCGAAGCACACTTTTAAGAAAAAGTTTGTGTGTGTGCTTGTGCTTGCTCAGTGCCTTGTATCCCAAAAGGGCACAAAACAGCTTTAGAAAAAATGCCTATAGTATTCCTATGTGTATCCAAGTCACAGATTCCAAATCCTAATCTATAAAGAATTTTGATATGGCTTGCGTATGAAAGTACGTGTATATTTATATTGACATGGAATGACAGACCATCTTGATTGTGAAGATACTGTTGGGAGATATTTTCACTGTCACACAGAGTGAGACAGCAAATATTCGTTGAATGAATGAATGGACAGTTTGTAAGTAATCACCCTACTTACATTTTAGATCATAAAAATGATAATGTGGTCAGTTGTAAGTTAATTGTCTGAGACAGGTGGTGGCAAAAGCCTCATATACTAGTTTCTTAGGCAATGATAATGTCCTTCCATAAATTATTTTACTATTAAGTACTAGGCCAGCGATTGAAGGAAACATCAACCAAGGTTATATATACTAAAGGAGAATTTACAGGCAAACACCTTATGTTCTATAAACCTCCTTACTTAAATCATTCTGTGATTTACAAGTAATTTGTTCATGGGGTAGATGGTTAAGTATTTGTCATGAAGATGTATTTATCCACTCAGTAAGCACTTAGCAAATGCTTTCCTTCAGTGGTATGTTAAGTAGTGGGGAGATAGTTGTGTATACATGGTAGCCATGGTCTCTGTGCCATGGATGGTTTCTCTCATGATAGAAGCAAGAAAAAAAATCAAGTAAATCCATAAATGAGTAAAAAACAATTCATCTTATAAGTACTTTGAACAGAATAAGTGAAGAGTGGGAGTTTGGGAATTGAATGGATCTATAGTTACAGTTTTCAGGGAAAACAATTTAGAGGAGATAACATTTAAGCTGAGATCTGTAAATTGTAAATTCAGCTTAAAAAGAGACTTTCTCAGTTGGATAAGGTCTAGAATATCTCCAAAAGCAAGTCCCTGGAAGGAGAGAAAGAGAGAGACTAGAATACCTATGATGCATACAATAACCAGTAAAGTTGAAAATGCTTGCACCCAATAGTTAGTGCCCATATACCATTGTAGAAACATTCCTATTCTGTACAGTAGTTAAGAAGCATCAATATTTTTTATATTGTTCAACCAATGTTTGGGATGTTAAAATTACTACCCAATATAAGCAAAAAAGAATTTTGATAATACCCAAACAGAGTATAATTTTATATATTAAGTTATGACTATATTTCTATTTTTTATTTGATTTCTTTATTTTATACATGTTTCCCAGGATAGTCCACTGGTCTTACAGTCTGACAGGAATGTAACAGTGAATGCAAGAAATCACATGGGGCAGTTAACTGGACAGCTGACAGTAGGTGAGTCTTTGGGGGTAAAATTGCTTCTACCATCTTACTCCATTTAAAACTCTTGTGGTTGTTGAAATTGGGAAAAGCAAAAGTATATTATTTCTCTAATATATAACTAGACATCCCATACAGACCAATGATCTTGCACATGATTTGATTTGTAATGAAGCTAGCTATGGTTTCCTCTGTCTGGTAGTTATTCCTCTTTTCAGTGTGTTACTATGGGGCTGAATTATATATATTTTCTATTATTACTCTTGAATTATAAACTGCACAGTTTTCTTACCAAGTATATCCCTAGTATGTGTTCAATTATAGTATATAGGCTTGAACAAACATGTAAGATACAACATTATGTGGTCTATGTATTCTTTATTTTAGGCAAATAATTTTCCAATAAATATTATTATCAACTTATATAAATTAAAAGTGACATAATAGTTGAATGTCATAAATCTAACATTTATGAATTACTTATAAATTTGATATTGAATCATCTAAACTTTAAGGCTAATAGGCTTTAGAAGTAATATAGGTTAATGATAAAATACCTATTTGATCATATTGTCATAATTTTAATATAGAGGTTAATAATACACTAGAGGCCTGGTGCGCAAAATTTGTGCATGGGTAGGGTCCCTGGGCCTGGACAGAGATCAGGGTCAATCAAGGCTTCCTTCCCTCAGCTGCTGGCTGTTGGCCTGGGCCTTCCTTCATTCTACACCACCCTGGTGGTCAGCGCACATTAGAGTGGGCAATTGAACTCCTGGTGGATCCAACTCGCAAGGAGATAATTTGCATATGAGCCTTTTATTGCAGAGGATGGCATTATCATTTGAGTCAAATTTGTAAGAAGAAAGGCAAATTAAAAGTTAGTCATAGTTATGTAAGATAATACAAATATTGAATTTATGTGTAATTGCTAAAATATTTTTTTAGAATATTACAATTTTCTGTGGGAAAATTGCCTACCAGTTATTGATTTTTCGTATGTGTTTATGTGTGTATGTATGAAACTATATTACAAATGGTAAATTACAATTTTGAGGACTGAGTTATTCTTATCTTGATAAGTATAGCATCATTTTAATGCACTTATATATTTCTAGTATTTCTAATTAAACTACACAAGATTATATCATTTTAAACATGAGATTTATAAACATGAGTTTGATTCCTTCTAGTTCCTTTGTAGGTATATGAAATACTTCTTGGTACACTATTTATTTAATGAAACCAAAAGTGGAACTTATATCTTAAGATGTATTTTTAAAATATGTAATTTCATTTTGATTTTAATAATTAAATATTATTTTACATATCTTTAAAGTGTAAGCATTGGTCAGTAGGTATCTGTTAATTACTAATACTAACTGGTTAGTATTTTGTGATACATTGTGACAGTTGTATTTTGAATCAGCTATTTTGATGATGGTGATTGTAATCCTAATATATAACCAGAACAACCAGCTGGATGACTGCACATAGGCTGCATGGGCACTAAAGCTAGCAGGGGGGTTAGTCAGGTACTACCAAACAACTGAATAGCAGGCTGCATGGGGTGACCAGGCTGGCAGTGGGATTGATGAGGGATGACCAAATGACTGAACAAGCAGGATGCATGGGGCGACCAGGCCAGGGGGTGGGGAGTAGTGTCTAGTGATCAAATGACTGAACAGCAGGCTGTGTGGGGTGACCAGACCAGAAGGGAAGGAAGTTGGGGGCAACCAGGCTATGGGGTGGGGGGCAGTTGGGAGTAACCAGGCCAGTAGGGGGGCACGGTTAGGGACGACTAGGCCAGTGGGGAGCTGGCGGTGGGGGGGAGCAGTTGAGGGCAACCAGGCTAGCAGGAGGTCAGATGAGGCAACCAAGCTGGTAGGAGGGGCAGTGAGGGGTGAACAGGCCATCAGGGGGGACAGTTAAAAGTGACCAGACTGGCAGAGTGGGGCAATTAGGAGCAACCAGGCCACTGGGGAAAGCAGTTGGGGGCAACCAGGCCAGCGGGGGGGTGGGGGGGGAGGGAGGAAGGGGAGGAGTTAGGGATGATCAGGCGGGCATGGGGGGCAGTTATGGGCAATCAAGAAGGCAGGCAGGTGAGCAGTTAGGAGCCAGCAGACCCAGATAGTGAGAGGGATGTCCGACTGCCAGTTTAGGCTCGGGAATAATGGAAAGAAGGCCTGAGCAGACCTGCTGTGTTCATTCTAACCCAGAATCTTTCTGAGAATATTAAACCAGATCATTTCTAACTAAATAGATGCAAAGAAAATATTTTAAACATATGACAGCTCAGACATAGTCAAAATTAAATAAATCAACATTTTTAGATTTGGGGTTTAAAAAATCAATTGAAATATATTTTGTGTGCATATAAAATTCTAGGCTTTGTATTAAATTTATTTTAATACCAGAATACTGCCTCCCACCTCCCAATGACATGTAAGATTTCAGTTTTTCATAGAAGGAGATGAGTGAATTCAAGATTTCTTTGCACAATTTATTTTTCTTAGAATAAAGCTGACAGAGAGGACTAAAATTGTTTTTAAGAAGTGATTAAAGAACATATACGATCCTAAGAGGTCAGATTCCTTCAAAAAAAGAAATAAGAATTTCCTTAAACATGTACCAGAATCATTAACCAGGTCAAAATTTCTACTTTTCAATCAATAAATGTCTATGTTAGCAGGGTGTTCCTCTTTTATATGCAACTTAATGTGTATGTGATTTTATATGTTATATGTTCATATAACATATGTTGATAACATAATAGTTTCTATATTTCAGGACATGTTCATCAAATAACATGGGTAAAATGTAAAGTATGCATTTTGTGAAACACATCACATTTTCTTAGGAAACTGCTCTAATGTAATACACAGAATACTAAATCATTTTTAGGGACGTACATGTGTAATATTATGTTGTTTTGGTATAAACTCTGTTCATAAAACTGATCATTAATTCTATAGTAATTGGATTTTCTAAAAATATAATTACCTTTCCAATAATATCATGGAGATAATTATCTTTTATTTCCCAATAACATTACTTTGATGTATAATAGAAAAGACAAACTATTCTAAATAGTTTAAAAATATAAATGTTAATTTCACCAAGTTAATTGCTCTTCAATACTTCTTAGCCAACTTGAGTAAGGTATTAAATTATATGTTGCTTATTCTTACATTGCATTATAAAGTATTATTTAATTTTGATAAAACAATGGCTAAAAAATAATATATATATATATATTTTTACTTTCATATGTCTTGTTATCAGTCAATAGCAGGAAAATAAAAATAAAAGGAGAGTAAATTAAGAACTTGAACATGGAATAATATTACTGAGAAAAGACAGTTTTGATTTTAATTATTTTTGTTTAGTAGCATCCTTATTTTAAATTGCAGTCACAAACAATGTTGATTTAAAAACCCAGAATGATTGCTATGTGGTCCTGTGTTGAAAAAATAATAAACTTCATGCTGCCACATCTATGTCATTATCCCAGTAAAACATTAAGACTAATTGGTATTAAATAATTAGAATGTCATTGTTCTGAAATTTGTCTTTTAAAATGTCCTGAAGTCACAATCTTATGCTTCAAATGGGAACGTGTATTTCATCATATTACTTCTTATGCAGTGCTCAATAAATTTGGGAAAATTATTAACTTCTAGAATTGCTAGCTGTTATTGTCAGAATCATTTACTCATCATTGACATTGTCATTTTAATTTTTCAAGAATCAGGGCATATCAAATTATATAAAAACCTCAATTACAACCTACAGTTCCTCATTTTTCTTCCTTTAACATTTTTAAAGAAATCACCAGAATATATGTTTTAGAGAAAGAGGGAAGCAAAGGAGGGAGAGGGGGGATGTGGAGAGAAAGAGAGAGGAGGGGCGAGAGTAACATCGAAGCAAGAGAATAACACGGAGTGGTTGCTTTCCATATGCACCCAACAGGCCACCTTTGGAGACAATGCTCCAACCTATTGAGCCACACCAGCCAGGGTTTTATGTTTTCAATTTTGTTTGTTTGTTTTTTGTCTATCTTTAGTCACTATTTCTCCAATGCTTTAAACTTCTTCCAAGTAATTCTTAAATACATCTAGCTATATAGCAGTAAGTAAAAAATGCCATGGGCAAAAAACTAAACACATTGACATTTACATTCAGTACCAGTTTCCTTTAAATATTTCACATTTTCAGGCTTAATCGCCAGAAAATGCTGCAAACAAGTGCAGAGGGCTCTGCAGGAGAGTGGACTCGGGCTTCTTCAGCATCTGAGGGGTTTGTTTGCCTTCACTGCCCTGGGGACATCGGAGGGAGGTACTCAGGGAGCTGGGTTGATGAATGAGCAGCAGATGGGCCAGAACAGATGTGGCCGCACTGGCCCTTTGCCTTTTCCAGGGCCTGTCAATCCACTCCACACTTACACATCAAATTCGTTTTATTTACGACTAGAGTAGATGTGCTTGATAAGAAAAAAATTACACTTTTAGAGTTGTGTAAGGAAAATATGTTCCTCTGATTTGTTTTCTTCTCACCTTGAGTTGATATACACAAATAATACAGTTCATGGGATGAAGCAAACAGAAAATATAGTAAGTTTATAAGGAGATAAAAATGTATAAATATATAAAAATACATTGAAGTTAGTGCAGTTTACCTATATATAAGCTATTTATATACTATAGAGTAATTAACTAAACTACATTGACCTCCCTGGTGGTAGAGTTACAAGGGAATTGTAACTAATTATGTGCTACCCCTACATTTAAGGAAAAGACATATGAGCTTCTTATGGGAAACAAAAATTACACCGAATGAAATATACACATCCTATATAATATAAAAGCCTAATATGCTAAGTGTCTAGTCAGCCAGTTATTCATTCAACCAATCAAAATGTAATATGCTAATGATATGCTAAGGCCGCTCAACTGCTTGCTTTGGCATGCACTGACCATCAGGGAGCAGACCCTCCAACCAGTATGTTTGCTTGCTGC